CAAGAAAGTCAGCTTGCTGCAGACCATTTGTTGTATCTGAATGATGTGTATTCATCAGGACTTTTTGTGGCACTGTAGAGAATAGGTTGGAGCAAACTTCCCTCCGACTCTTGTTAATGTAGGTCAGGGTAATTCCGCTGAAGTCAGTGGTGTTTTGCTAGTCCAAAACCGCAGTGACTGGGAGATACCTTCCAGGACCACTTTACTTTATTAGCTCGTCTGTGAAAAATAGTCTGTTTTCTCCACTGGGTGGAGAACTGAAAGAAAAGTATCGCAAGGATATTCCTTTAAGCCTTTTAAGTAAAAGATCTTATTTTTTTCAAATAAAAGCTTTCTTTTTTACACAGTTTAAGTAGGATGATATTTTTACTATCATTCCATGGAAAATCATTGAGGCTATCAAGAGTCTTGTACCCTCTGTTTACCTAGTTGGGTTACACGCTTATGGGTATAACGTATAAGGAAGAGATCTGGGATATTCAGATGTGGATCTGTACAATGAGTAGTCTAGTTGCCTGTTGCATAACAGGTAAGTTTTCCACATCAATCTGTTAAGGCTTTCAGGAGCAATTTTAGAATTAATTGAAATCTTTTTTTTTGACAATAAATTTTCAAAAATTCTGATCTTCATTATGGAGATTATTATTATGTTAATTATTACCTTTATTATGAACTGGACAGCTTGTTCTTTGGTAAGACATTGTAGAGTGCAAGAATTGTCTTAACATTTCTGTGTTGATACTAAACTTGCCAATGACTCTGTCTTCTGATGATGAAATAACTCAAACTGTTTCTTATGGTTCCATTGTGTCTGTTTTCTTATGTTTTAATAAAAAGTGGGCAGTCAGTATAGGTAGTGTGAGACTAACTCTTCAAAATAAAAATGAGAGTGGATTTGTACAGTAGGAGGTTAAATTTAACTATATAACCTTACAATAATGTGTATTTTTATTTTAATTCACTTTATTATCTCCCCATTTAAAACCAGCTGCTTCTCCTTTTTTAAAATTTGCAAAATAATAATTAAATTTAAATAATGTTTGTAATTGCAAAAACTACAGTTCACTCTGATTTATTTTTGTTCTCCTTAATTAGTATTTGAGCATACTGGGAACATAAATAACCTTAGCTCTGATAGGGGCAGAATAACTAAGGTGATTGTTGTCAGTTTAGCTTCAAGTGTAAATACCCTGTTTCCCAGTCTACCAAGAGCTAATTAGTGCTACACACAGTCAGAAGAAACTTTATTGTATAATCTCATTGATGTAGTGAGCACTTATACTGAAAGAAGGCAAGCAGTAATACTGTTTGAAGTCAAACCTGTTAAATATCTGAGGTGACAAGAACCAGAATGTCCATGTTCTTTTGTATTCCTTCTACATAGTTCGTACTCATGGAACACATAAACACAGCTATATCAACTGTGTGATTAGGCATAAATAGAATGCCTTTACTTCAAACAGACTAGGAGAATGAATCTATTCATACAGCATATTTTCTTCTAGTTTTTGTTTTGAATTGCTCTGGAAGTATATTCTATCTGCAAAGCTGGGCCTTTGGACAGCTAACATCTTCACCCAGTGACCTCAGAGACTGAAGTATTGCCCTTACAGGAGCACTACTGCATCAGTATTTTGGTGATGTTGTGCTATACATATATATATAAGGACATACAAAATTTACTCGTATGAGTGCGACCTCTGCAAGATACAAGCTTTTTGTAGCATCAGCTCCAAAACTCACTTTCTGAGAGAAGCAGTATCCTGTCTGACCAAGAAATCTCATATAGAAAATAAAATCTTTATGGTAACTACTTGACTTTCCATTTCTGACTCCCCAAATTTAGGGACTGCAGTGTAAATGTACAGAAAAAAGATAAACTTAAAAAGCTTTCTCTGTATATACTTGTTCAAACTACCCTGTGAAGGTACATTGCTAAAACCATCATAGATTGTAATTAATGGATCTGTGATCTGTTATAGATATAACAAAAACCTTTATTGTGACTTGCCAGCAATTGTCTTTGCAGAATTACAAGTTCCAGAAACCCTCATCCTAAGCATTTATTTGCCTAGCTGAATAAAATATTACCTTAGTATCTTTCAAGCTTGTCATGAGGTCATATGCTGCATTAGGTAGTGCTGGAAATCTTCAGTTGTACATAGGAACTCACTTCCAAGTTTTGGTCCACAAGGGATGCTACTCTTTTGTCTCATCTGGCACTTTTTTTTTTTTTTATAAATATCTCTCTACTTGGTATAACAGTGACTGAAAGCTCTGGTTTTGTAATTTTGTATAGAAAGCAGATTCGTGAATGTAAAGTGAAAAAAAATGTGGTAAATAAAGATACTTTTTTTTTTTTCCCAACTTTCTCTGCACTGAAGTCATACTAGTTATATTTCTTGTTTAGAAAGATGTAGATGTAGGAGCATTAAAAATCCGCCCCC